ATAAAAATAAATTAAACAAATATTTGTAAAGAATCTACTATATGACAGACAGGGGATTTGGGGATATAAGTATAAAGAATGAAATTAGCTCTATGTGTAAGGAACATACATTCTATTTTTTTCCCCAAATAACTTTATTTTTATTTATTTATTTACTTATTTTTAGTTTTCAACATTCACTTCCACAGGATTTTGAGTTCTAAATTTTCTCCCCCCTCCTTTCCCTCCCTTCCAAGAGGGCATGCAATCTGATATAAGCTCTACATATAAATTTGTATTAAACACATTTTCACATTAGCCTTGTTGTAAAGAAGAACTAGAACCAATGGAAGGAACCACAAGAAAGAAACAAACAAACAAAAAAACAACCCAGAAAGACAGCAAATAGTATATTTCCATCTGTATTCAGACTCCATAATTCTTCTTCTGGATGTGGGTAGCATTTTCTATTATGAGTCTATTAGAGTTGTCTTAGATCCTTGCACTGCTGAGAAGAGTCAAGTCTATGAAAGTTAGTCATCACACGATATGGCTGTTACTGTGAACAATGTTCTCCTGGTTCTGCTCGCTTCACTCAGCCTCAGTTCATATAAGTTTTTCCAGGTTTTTCTGAAGTCTGCCTGCTCATCATTTCTTATAGCACAATAGTACTCCATTACATTGATATACCACAACTTGTTCAGCCATTCCTTAATGATGGGCATCCCCTCAATTTCCAATTCTTTGCCACCACAAAAAGAGCTGCTATAAATATTTTTGTACATGTGGGTCCTATTCCCATTTTTATGATCTCTTTGGAATACAAGTCTAGAAGTGATATTGCTGGGTCAAAGGGTATGCACAGTTTTAAAACCCTTGGGCATAGTTCCAAATTGCTCTCCAGAATGGCTGGATCAGAGGAACTTATATTCTAAAGGAAGAGATGCTAAATGTATATGTAAATATATTCAGCATAACTATAAAGTGAATAAGTAAATACATACAAAGGAGTTAAATATAAGGCTGTTTTGGAGAGAAGGCATTAGCAATTGGTGGTAAAAAGGAAAGGCTTCATGTAAAAGATGGTACCTGAGATGCACCTTAAAGGAAAAAAAGGGAGACTATGAGGCAGAGATAAGGAAGGAGTGTATTCCAGGGCTGGGAACAACCAGTGCTTTTTGGTGCATGGGGTGGGGAGAGAACACTAATGGGGAGGAATCAGGAAAGACTTCTTATAGGAGCTGACACTTAAAAGAAGCCTTGAAGAGAGCTAGGGGTTATGAGAGACAGAAGTGAAGTAGAAGGGTATATTGCAGGCACTACAGATAGCCTGTGAAAAAGTATGGAAGAAGAAAATGGAGTATCAGCACCTACAGAGCACAATGGATAAAGCCCTAAACTTGCCAGTCAGGAAGACCTGAGTTCAAATTCGGCCTCAGGACATTAAGGCGTGACACATAACCTCTGCCTCAGTTTCCTCACCTATAAAATGAGAATAATGATAGCACTTAACACACAGGGTTGTTGTGAGGATCAAATGAGTTATTTGTAAAGCATTTAGCACAGTACCTGGAACATAGCAGGTGCTTAATAAATGCTTATTAATTATTGATTAATATGAAAGAAATCTGAAAAGATAAGTACAGGCCAGATTTGAAGGACTTTAAATGTCAAACAGAGGAATGCATTTTATCTTGGAAGAAAAACAGATACACTGAACTAAAAGATGAAATAAGTGACAACGTCTGTACATTAATCTGTGCTTTAACAATATCAATTTGGCAGCTGTGTGCTGGATAGCTTGAAGACGAAGAGGCCAGAGGCAGGGAATTCAATTGGGAGGTTACTGCAGTAGTCCAGGCAAGAGGAGTCATGAAAGCCTTGACTAGGGTAGCTGTAGAGTGAGTAGACAAAAGGCTTCAGATGTGAAAGAAGTCTAGAGGTGAGAGTACTAGACTTGGAGTCAGGAAAATCTGAGTTTGAATACTGCCTCTGAAACTAGCTGTGAGACACTGGAAAAGTACTCTTATAGTCTCAGTTTCCTCATCAGCAAAATGGAGATAATAATAGCAACTACCTTAGAAGGCTGTCATGAGGATTAAATGAGATAACTTATGTAAAATACTGTGCAAAACCTTTTTTGGAGGTAAACTAGCCTAGACTTGGCAACTGATCACATGTGGGGAGGGGTACCAGTAGGAGGAGTCAAAATGAAAATGTGAAGAAAAGGGGAAGTGGATTGGGAAAAATAAGGAATACTGTTCTCAAACATATTATGTTTGAGATACCTATAAAACCACAGAGGGGGAAAAGTTCTGCATGCAGCTGCAAATGTAGGTCTGGAGCTCAGAAGAGAAACTAGGGCTAGATATATAGATTGGGGACTCAGCTGCATAGAGATGATAGGAGAACCTACAGAAGTCAATGAAACATTGAGATATAGTATAGAAGTCCCTACCTCTATATGACTGAAATTAAATCAGATATTTATAAAATTTCTAGGACTAGAGGTGGAAGAAGAGAGACAAGTTCCTCTCTTTCCCAATCACTTTTTTTTATACTATAGCTGCTAGTGGCTGCCCATTAAATTATCTCTTAATTATTTTGCATATGCTTATATGTGTTTATGTTGTCACCCCAAACAGATTATAAACTGCAAGACGGCAGGGATCATTTGATCTTTATTTCTGTATTTTCAAGGGCTCAGAATAATCCTTAGAATATAGTAGGTATTTAATGTTTGTCAATTGATTATTGTTTGGGTGTTATACTAGTACAAATGTTAAGTTTGAAAACACAATAAAAGGTGGTACAATTTGGGAAACTCAAAATCTTATCTGTTTGCTTGTCACCAAAGCTCTAAAGCACAGAAGAGAAGTGAATTTGAAGAAAAAGACAGCCTCTGCTACTTTTATTGTTGTTTAGTCATTTTTCTGGTTTCGTGAGCACATTTGGGGTTTTCTTGGCAAAGATACTGGAGTGGTTTTCCATTTTCCTTCTCCAGCTCATTTTACAGATAAGGAAACTGAGGCAGACAAGGTTAAGTGACTTGCCTTGGGTCACACAGCTAGTTAAGTGTCTGAGGCTGGATTTGAATTCAGGTCTTCCTGCTCTATCCACTACTCCACTCAGCTTCCCTTTTGCTGCTTACTGCCTGTATCATAACGCAAATCACTTCAGCCCTCCCTACTTCATTTTCCTTGTCTATAAAAAGAGCAAGTTGTATTAAATGATCTCTAAGGTCCTTTCCACCTTATGCTTCCTTCTTATGTTCCTGTGGGCTGACAATTGCTATACATTCCATTAAGTAGTATCACTTACATTAGATTTGAATGCAGCTAAACTGTTTGAAGTCAGTATGTAGTGTTTTAGCATAAGCTAAGTTAGTTAAAAATCAAAAAATTAATTCAAATTATTTAACAATTTCGTTCACATTTTTAATCCTAATTGACTGTGGGTTTTTGGCATTCTAAATCTTCCATGTTGCTGGATTCCCTTTACCTACTTGTATGGCACAGGTTTATTTACTTTTAGAGGCAAAAAACAGTTTCTTTGATATAAAACAGTGTTTTGATTTGATAGTTTGTGTGTATTTTAAAACGTATGCTGACTTCCTATTTGGAAAGAGTTTTCTGTTTCTTGCCTTCCAGATAGGTGAGGGGTGAGGAAAGGGAGGGCCTAGAATTGAAAATAAAATTGAATAAAAAAAAAAAAGGATTATTCATATTTGAACTAATAAAGTAGGACTGGAAGAGTAAACTTATATGTAGTAATAGCTAACATTTATATTGCACTTTGCAAATATTATCTCATTCTGCTCTCAAAACAACCTTGGCAGAGTAGGTGCTATTATTAACCCCTTTTAAAAGATAAGGCTTAGAGAGGTTAAAGTGGATAGTGTGCAGACTTGGAGTCAGGAAGACCTCAGTTCAAATCCTGTGATACTTCCTAGCTGTGACCTCAATTAACCTCCCCCAGTCTAAGTTTCCACAGCTGTAAAATTAGTTCAATAACAGCACCTACTTTTGTCATGAGGGTCGTGAGTTAAAGAGCAAAATAAATGCAAGATAATAGTAACAGCAGTAGTGATTGAGGCATGATTTGAACTCGGTTCCATTAAAACGTAAATAAGCTCTTTAAGGGCAGGGACTATTTTTATCTTTCTATTCCCAGGGCCTAGCACAATGCTTCAAACATATTAAGCATTTAATAAAATGTCTGTTAAATTTCTACAGAATAGGTGCTGGGGTGTATTTTTTTTTGTCTTGCTTTGTTTCTCCAACACTTAGCACTGAACCTGGCACTTACACGTTTGTTGACACACTATTGAACTAACGTGACCTGCGGGTCCCAGAGCTCTAACCACTGAGGCACGCAACCGCCTAATCTCTAGCCTCTGTGCCTCTGTCCAGGTCGGTTCCCCGTACCTGCATCCTTAGCCGAAGGCCACTTTACCTTTACCCAGTCACGGCTCGGGGCGGCAGCAGCACGGCCGGCTGCGATCTACGTCGGGGGGGGGGGGACCCCGCGTTCGGGCCCTCCCGGGACGACGCACTCACCTCCTCCTTCAGGTAGTCGTACTTCAAGGGCTCGGGCAGCTGGGCCGCCCAGTTCTTCTGCTTCCTCTTCAACACCCGATCGAAGACATTCACGACGCCCGGGGTGGAGTCGCCAAACAGGAAGGAGTACGAGGAAGCCCCCCGGGATCCGCTCGGCGGGCCACCGCCACAACCACACCCCGCCTCGCGGGGAGGCGCCGGCAGAACCAGCCGCCGGCACCACGAGAGCCGGACCGCCCTCAGCATGACAGCCCGCCGCCCACAACCTCCGCGCGACCTCCTCGTCTGCCGCGCCGACGCGCCTGCGCCCTCAAGTCCGTGCGCATGCGCTGCGGCGGTACTAAGGCATACATTTCAACTGGCGCGCTTAACGGGAAGCTTGCGGTCTGAACCAGATCGCTTGCCGTAGTTCCAGAGCTTAACGCAAAGGTTTGTGGGCCTGAATTTCTCCACGTGATTCTGTGAAGGGTCTCGCTAAGTGAGCTGAGGCGTTTTGGGGCTCCAAGTCCGGTTGGCGGAGTTATAAGAGATTCAAAGAAAGTCGCTAGCCAAGGTGGACAGTCTTCACCTGACCTTGTCAGGAAGTGATAGTGACCGCCTCCTCGATCTTCCTCTCCTTTCGCGAAGTAAAAGACGCTTTTGGAAGAGCAGCCGGCCCCTTCGAGGCCTGAGGGGCTCCCTCTCTGGCACAGCGTGAGGTAGGGTGAACTGCTCATGTTCTGGCTGTGCCGCCTTAAAAGCTGTGTGACCTCGGACAGCCAGGCAGCGTGATGGATAGAGCCCAGAGTTCAAATGCGATCTCAGACGTTTCCTAGCTGCGTGACCCTGGGAAGGGCACTTAACCCCTGTTGGTCTCAGTTTCGTCACCTGTAAAATGGGGATCGTAACAACACCTTCCTCTCGCCGCCCTGGGTTGTTGTGAGGATCAAATGAGATAATAATCGCTAAGCGTTAGCATAGTGCCTGGCACACAGTAAGCGAGGTACACACACACTCACACAGACTGTTATTCTTAATTTTTTCGAGACTTAATTTTCTCCCCTGTAAAATAAGACATAATACAGGTGAGCTCTTGTTATTCTCTCATCCTTCCTTGCTGAGTTTGGGAATTTGTGGGGCAGAGATTGCCAAGCTATAATTGCAGCTGATTAGGAAGCCACACCCTCTCACCCCTCTTTTAGGAAAAAAACCCCGAAGTTTTACACTTACCATCAATATGTTATAGAACCCAGGAGCCTGAGGATAGAAAAAGAAAGCTAGTTGTTAGGCAGATTTCAGCTCTAAACTTTGATGATGGGGTGGAAGTCCCTGTATTCATATCGATATTTGATGTATTAGAGGTTGTGTTAAAACTTCTTATTTTTTAGTTGATAATTTTATTGCTTAAGATTTCCTTGGAAAAGATAGATGTTCCTACATCTCTAATGAGGTTTTCTTTTGTGCAGGGTGATTAATTAGGGTTACAATTTTCTGAGCCAGAAAAGTGGGAAACCTGGTCTGACCACGAGGATGGTTTTTTGAAAAGACTTCTTAAAAGTATTAGTTTTTAAAAATTGAACTAAGAGTGCAAATTTGGATATTGTAGCTGTAACCCTGTAACTTCTTAATAGAGAACAATAGAAACCGTTTTTATCATGCCTTGCTTTTATTTTATATGGAATATAACTTAAAAGATTCAATGAAGCTTTCTTGAAAACAATTTTTGTTTGGTAAACTTAAATCCTCATAATCACATTTTTCAGTTTTTAGGTTATTCGAGGTTTTGGTCAACAAGGAAGGTTAAAAATGGCATCAAAAGAAGAACTTATGAATGATGAGCGGTTTCGTCGAATTACAAAGGACCCTAGATTTTGGGAAATGCCAGAAAAAGATCGAAAAATTAAGATTGATAAGAGATTTCGAGCAATGTTTCATGACAAAAAGTTCAAGTTGAAATATACTGTGGATAAAAGAGGACGTCCCATAAATCATAGCAGTACAGAGGATTTGAAACGTTATTATGACTTATCAGATTCAGACTCTGATCTCTCGGATAAAGATAGTGAAGCATCAAACAAAAAGAAAACGAAGAAAAAGACCCAGAAAACTAAAAAAGGAGATCCAAAAAAATTACCAGATGATAAGGAAAAAAGCAACACTATTAGGCCAAAGGAAGACTTTGGACATGGGAAAGAGCAAGATGGTTATGAAAATATTTGTAAAACACAGAGTTTGAACAGAGTTAAGAAGGTGCATGCACAAAATAATCTGCAAAAAGATGAAAAAGAATCAAAAAATAAAGGCATAAAGAATCAAAAAGAGGCATTCCTATTTAATGCAGACACATCCTCTAGTGGAAAACTAAAGATGTCAGAACTGGACAATAATAAAATTGTGAAATATTCCAAGGTGAAGTTTCCTAAAGAGAAAGAGAAATGTGATTCAGGTTAGTTTAAAAAATAAGTCTAAAGTTTTTATTGACTATGGTGTGCTTTTGTGCTTGATTTTTCTTTTTTTAAAGGTAATATTTAAAGAGATTTTTAATGTAATTTGGTAATGTGGTAAAAATCATGTTATTTTAGTAGTAATACTGGAAAAAAATAACAGATTATTAACTTAGTTTAAGTTAATGTGAAAACTTTGAAGATTGTACAGGTTTTTGGGATGAAGAGACTAATGAAAGTTTGAATCTTCTGGCTAATCATTGTTTTTTGATTATTTTATGGCCATTACCCAAAGCCATTCTATAGTCATCTGCCAAAATTTTTGAGGACGAAGACATCTTTTATCTTAATTCAATTTCTTTTCACCAGTTCAAGTCTTCCTAAGTTTTTTTTCTGAAATAATCCACTTTGTCATTTCTTACATTACAATACTATTGTTTACGTTCATAAACCATAATTTGTTCAACCAGCTTAGTTTCCAGTTTTTTGCTACTATAAAAAGAGCTGCCATAAATATTTTGGTACATATGGATCCTTTCCCTCTTTCTTTGATATCTTTCAGTATTGCTGGGTCAAAGGATGTTCACAATTTAATAGCTTTTGGGGGATAGTTCCAAATTGCTTTTCAGAATGGTTGGAGTAGTTTACTGCTACACAGTGTCCTAGTGCACCTGTTTGCCCACAGCTCCTTCAGCATTTGTAATTTTCCTTTTTTGTCATCTTATCCAATCTGATAGGTGTGAGGGTACCTCAGAATTGTTTAAGTTTTAATTTCTCTATTATTTATTTAGAGAATTTTTTCATATGGCTATTTGTAGCTTAGATTTCTTCTCTGAAAACTGTGTATTCATATCTTTGACCATTTTTCAATTAAAGAATGGCTCCTTTTCTTGTACATTTGACTTAGTTGTCTATATATTTGAGAAATGAAACTTTTATCAGAGAAACTTGCTACAAAGATTCTCCCCCTGCAATTTCCTGTTTTTCTTCTCGTTTTAGCTGCATTGGTTTTGTTTGTGCAAAAACTTTGTATGTAATCAAAATTATCCATTTTACCTCCTGTGAACCTCTCTTTTTTGATCATAAACTATTCCCCTTATTCATAGATTTGACAGGTAATTTCTTCCATGCTTCTCTAATTTGCTTATGATCTCATCTTTTTTTTCTAAATCATGCCCCCATTTTGAGCTTATCTTGGTATATAATGTGAGATGTTAGCCTATACCTGGTTTCTGCCAAATTGCTTTACAATTTTCCTAATAGTTTTTGGTAAATAGTGAGTTCTTGCTCTGATAGTTGTGATCTTTGGGTTTATCAAGCACTAGGCTACTGTGCTCAATTGCTTCTGCATTTTGTGTACCTAGTCTTTCCCGCTGATCAACCACTCTATTTCTTATTCAGTACCAAAATGTTTTTGATGATTACCACTCTGAATATAGTTTGAGATCTAATACTACTAGAACCTCCCCTTCCTTCACATTTTTTTTCCCATTGATTCCCTTGATATTCTTGATCTTTTGTTCCTCCAGATGAATTTTGTTATTATTTTTTCTAGCTCTATAAAGTAATTCTTTGATAGTTTGGTTGGTATGGCACTAAATGAGTACATTAATTTAGGTCATATTGTCATTTTTATTATAGTGACTTGGCCTACCTATGAGCAGTGAATATTTCTCCATTTATTTAGATCTGTCTTTATTTGTGTTGAGTGTTTTGTAATTGTGTTTATAGTTCCTATTGTGTATTGGCAAGTGGATTCACAAGTATTTTATACTGTCTGAAGTTATTTTAAATGGAATTTCTCTTTCTATCTCTTCCTGCTGTATTTTGTTTGTAATATACATGAATGGTAATTATTTGTATGGATTTATTTTATATCCTTCAACTTTGCTGAAGTTATTTCGATTAGTTTTTTAGTTGACTCTATAGAGTTCTCTAAGTATAATCATAACATCATCAAGCCTATATTTATTCCTTTAGTTTCTTTTATTTTTCCTATTGCTGTAGCATGCATTTCTAGTACAAAATTGAATAGTAATGGTAATAATGGACATCATTGTGTTACCCCTGATCTTATTGGGGAAGCTTCTAGTTTGTGACTATGATGGATACTTCTTGCTCTTGGTTTTAGATAGATACTCCTTATTTTGAGGAAAAGCTTCATTTCTTCCTATTCTTTCTGATGTTATTAACAGGAATGATTGTTGTATTTTGTCAAAAGCCTTTTCTGCATCTGTTGATATAATCATGGTTTTTGTTATTCACATCATCAATTGTGCTTTATAGTTTTACTAATATTGAATAAGCTCTGCATTCCTAGTGTATATCCATCCTGGTCTGATATATTGCTATAATTTAAGACTTTTGCATCAATATTTACTAGAGAAATTGGTCTATACTTTTCCCTTTTTTTTTTTTTACTCTCCTTGGTTTAAATATCAAGACTATATTTATACCATAGAAGGAATTGGGCAGAACTTCTTCTTTACCTATTTTTTCCAACAGTTTATGTAGTATTGGAATTAATGATTCTATCAGTGTTTAATAGAACTCACTTGTAAATCCATCTGGTCCTGACTTGTTTCCCTTCGGAGATTCATTTTTGATTTATTCAATTACTTTTTCTAAAATAAGGTTAAGGATTTTATTTCCTATTCTGTTAATCTAAGCCATTCATATTTTTGTGAATTTTCATCCATTTCTTTTATCTTTTCAATTAATTATTTCAACTTGTTTTGATTGTTGATTCTTTAGGATTCTCTAACTATACCATCATATCATCTGCAAAGAGTGATGGTTTTATTGCTTCATTGCCTATTCTAATTCCTTCGATTTGTTTTTCTTATCTTATTGCTGTTGCTAGTATTTTTAGAACAATATTGAATAATAGTGGTGATAATGGTCATCTTTGCTTCACCCCTGATCTTATTGTGAAGGCTTCTAGCTTATTCCCATTACAGATAATGCTTGCTGATGTTTTTAGATAGATAATATTTATTTTAAGGAAAGTTCCACTTATTTACTTTCTAATATTTGTAATAGAAGTGAGTTTTGTATTTTGTCAAAAGCTTTTTCTGTATCTGTTGAGATAATAATGTGGTTTCTGTTGATATTGTTACTGATATGGCAAGTTATATTGATGGTTTTCCTAATATTGAACTAGCCCTGCATTCCTGGTATAAAATCCCACCTGGTCATAACATATGATCTTTGAGATATGTTGCTGTAATCTCTTTGTTAGTATTTTAGTTAAAAATTTGCATCGATATTCATTAGGGAAATTGTTCTATGATCTTCTTTCTCTGTTTCTGCTCTTCCTGATTTAGGTATCAAAACCGTATTTATGTCATAAAAAGGAATTTGGTAGGAATCCTTCCTTGCCTACTTTTCTAAATAGTTTATGTAGTATTACTACTAATTACTCTTTAAACATTTCCTAGAATTCACTTCTGAATCCATCTGATCCTGGAGATTTTTTCTTAGTGAGCTCATTTATGGCCTGTTCAGTTTCTTCCTCTGAGATAAGGTTATTTAAGTATTTCCTCTTAATCTGGGCGATTTATATTTTTGTAAATATTCATCCATTTCACTTAGATTGTCAGATTTATTGGCATGTAATTGGGCAAAATAGCTCCTAATAATTGCTATGATTTCCTCTTCATTGGTGGTGAATTTACCCTTTTCATTTTTTTGATACTGGTAATTTGGTTTTGTTATTTTTTTAAAATCAAATTAACCAATGGTTTGTTCATTTTATTGTTTTTTTAAACAGCTCCTAATTTTATTTATTAGTTCAGTGATCTTTTTACTTTAATTTTTTAATCTCCTTTGATTTTCAGGATTTCCAATTTAATACTTATTTGGGGATTTTAAATTTGTTCTTTTTATAATTTTTTTAGTTGCATGCCCAATTCATTGATACGTTGTGTCTCTATTTTATAGAAGTAAGTGTTTGTAGATATAAACGTTCCCCTAAGTACTGCTTTGGCTGCATCCCGTACATTTTGGTATATTGTCTAATAATTTCCACTCTCATTAATGAAATTATTGATTGCTTCTGTGATTTGTTCTTTGTAACACACTCTGGATTAGATTAGTTTTCAATTAATTTTTAATCTGTGTTTCCATAGTCCTTTATGTAATGTAATTTTTATTGCATTATGGTCTGAAAAGGATGTGTTTAATATTTCTTTTTTTGCATTTGGTTTTGAGGTTTTTATGCCTTAATACGTGGTCAGTTTTTATGTGAGTGCCATGTACAGCTGAGAAAAAAAGTTCCATTTTCTCCAAAAGTCTATCGTATCTAACTTTTCTAAAATTCTATTAATTTCCTTAACTTCTTTCTTGTTCATTTTATGGTTAGTGCTGAGAGAAGAAAGTTGAGGGCCCCCACTACTGTATTTTTACTGTCTGTTTCCTTCTGTAACTCACGTAACTTTTCCTTTAAGAATTTGGGTGCTATGCTATTTGGTGCATTTATGTTTAGCATTGCTGTTACTTCATCATCTATGGCACCTTTTAACAAAATGTAGTTTCTTTGCTTATCTCTTTTAATTAGGCCTATTTTTATTTTGAGATCTTGATTGCTACCCCTGCCTTTTTTACTTCAGTTAAAACATAATAGATTCTGCTTCATCCCTTTATTTTAACCCTTTGTGTGTCTTTCTTATAAACAGTGTATTTTTGAATTCTGGTTTTTAATCCATCCTGCTGTCTCCTCCCATTTTATAGGTGAATTCATCCCATTCACATTCACAATTAAGATTATTAACTGTGTATTTCCCTCCATCCTATTTTTTCCCTCTGTTTCCCCTCTCTTTTTACTCTGTCCCTCCTCAAAAGTCTATTTTACTTCTTACCACTACCTCCCATAGCTTCCCCTCTCTTCTATCAGTTCCTCTCCCCTTCTCTTAATTCCTTTACCCTCCTACTCCCTTGTAAAGTAAGAGATCCCTATACCCAACTGGGTGTGCGAATTTGTCCAGTTGTCAGTTTCAAGAAG